CGAAGATAAACTCAAGGCCCTGAATCCACTCGTCCACGATACGGGGATCTCCCTGCACTAAGAATTTTTCGGCATGATAGTCGCGGAACTGTGCGGCTACTGTGGCCTGAGTAGGAACCGGGTGATCGGGTTCCCTACGGGGCGGCATCTGATCATTGGAAAAGTTCAAAATTATTGAACACGTGATAATATTCTGACTGATTACTAAGGTACACAAATCTCTTGACGAGTTGCCAAAAATAGCCGATAAATATTGACATGAATCCTGAGGAACTCTAGAGTCATATCGGAAGATACTGAATTCTAGAGTCATATCTGAGTATACTGAACTCTAAAGTCATATCTGAATATACTGAATTCTAAAGTCTGAATCTGATTCGAGCATCTTAACTAAGTCCTGATTAATAATTTCTGAGCATAGACAAAGTAATATGTTTATAACTGAAAACATAAATCAGCACTTACCTGTAGTCGGCGAGGCGTGAGCGTGACGGTTCAGGTTTTTCTGAAAATTACTGACTGAAAAACTTTTCAGAGACGCAGAAACGTGCTCTGATACCAATTGTAACACCCCGACTTTTTTCTGAAATCAGAGTACCCGTTTTTCGCAATTTTTCTGAACAAATAAATAAAATATTAATTTTTGCGAAAACTGATTCGGAGTGCTACCGTGAAAACTTGACTTTTCTGAAAACCATTAAATTTTAAACTGATAATGAAAATGGTTATAATATTTTAACCGACTAAAGTCGGATCAAAAGCTGTTTAAAAGTACTGAAAGTTTTAGCGGAATAACAGCGTGGCCAAAACATATATACATATCCATAAATATCCTGAACTGCTCGTCAGCTCACTCCTCGTCCCCGACCCTGCAACCTGAAAAACATGAAATACGTGGGGGCGTGAGCACTAAAACACTGTGCTCCGCAGAAACTCATACTAATGTAAACATTGAAAATAATAACAATATCATGATCCTGGCATATATAACTGAACTGAAACTGAAACTGATATCTAATACCGGTCTGAATAGTCTGATACTGATCTCGTGACATAGGTTACGTAACTGATAACTGAACATCTGTCGGCACAAACAAATACCGGAATCTGCCGGCACAAACTAATACCGGACACCATGTGCACACTCTAGTGGGCAGATTAGGCCACTAGAACCCAGAATGGACCGGCGACCATTCCGAGCGGATACTGAATATACATACCTCAAACATGGTAGCGATATTATAATCAATGTAGTACTAAGTCTGAGTCCCCACCTGAACTGCTGAAACTGAAGGTAGTGCTGATGCCTGATCAAACTGAAAATAATATAAACAATTACTACTGACTATGCTCAGACTCATAAATTAACTCATTAATTATGTTAAGATGCTCTACTGAACCTGACATGATATTCGGATTTAATCGGTATAACTGGAACCGGTTAAATACGAAACTGAACTAGTATTAATTTACTGAATTGAACTAGACCCGAAATTTTAACTGAAAATGACACTGGAATCATGAACCGGGACTGAAACTGAAGAATACTGACTGAACCGGTCCAGCCGGTCTGAACCGGTTTGGACCGGA